CTTCCTTTTCCAGCAATTATTTAATGCCATTTATAAAATATGGAAGGTTAATAGCTTTCTGCATCACTTGTTTCTTCACTTGAAGAGGGAAGCAGATGTTTCACACCTGCATGAGTCCCCGTGATGTGCAGCTACAGGGAGCCAAGCAGTTTGGAAGTGTATTACAGAGGCCCAGAGTGTGATTCTGCCAGACAGCATTGGCCAGGTGTGTGGAGGGCAAAGTCAGGACTCATTCTTGCACATTCAATAAAAGCAACCATGTTAGGACTCTGATTCCAGGTTTTACTGTCTGCCGTGGGCACATAATCCAGGGCAGAATTTGACCCAAGAGTACTGATGAGGCCTGGCAATTGCTACATGATGTGTGAAGAGCAAAGTTGGCAGAAAGACTTCCCTGCTCATTTGGACAGCTACAAAAGAGGGAATCCTGCTCTCCATGTGTGAAATAGGAAGAAGTATAATGTGCAGTTGACAAAATTTCACGCAGATGCCAGAGCAAGATTTGCCATGTATTTTGGACTTCTCTTTCATGATGAGGATGATGCAAACAATCTGACCATCTGTTCCCACAAACAAATAGCATGCTGCTTGGATAAAAACACACCCACAACAAACTAGAGTCAATGGAGATCCTTTTGTTTTAAGTCCTCATGGGTATTTTTAAAGTTGTTGTTCTGCTTTGAATCGAAGAATGGGCAATAACTGGTTTCTCATCTTCATCAACAAACTATGATGGAGGATTTATTCTGTAATTAAAATGCTTATTCACAAAGCAAATTGGTCTGTAATTAATTTCTAGCCAGCCTACACTGGTCACAATAAAGCCAGTCTTTTCAGATGGGCTTGATAATATCTAGAAAACACCCGGAAGGTGCAAGGATCTACTAACATTGTTTAATCCAAATGAATAGTGATAAACAAAATTTTCTTAAGAGAAGAAAAGAACCACTGCAGAGAAGTTTGTCATTTAACTGTTACTAGTAGAAAAGTAACTGCACATGTGACAGATATACTATAGTTTGAATGAGCAAAGGAAGTGTGTGATGCAGTTTATATTCGCAGGCCTTTTGAAGAAATAATCAATAAAAGCCTCTTAAGAAATATTGCTTTACAAATTCTGCTTGTTTCATATCCAGGTGGGTTTTTTCTGATTCTTTTACACATAGTTCATGTTCTATTTCAATCTTAATTCTCCTTTGGGGGTATGTGTCCCCAGAAAATATCTTTGTACAAAATATGTTCATAGTCCGGTTTTGCTCCAGAACCCTTTAGGACCTCATGTTAGCCCTAGCTCCTCTCCGTAAAAAAAAAAAAAAAAAAAAAAACTGCATATAAAACATACAGTCTCAAGGGTTCCAATCCATAAATGCACTGGGCAGCTGTGGCCAGAGTTAACACTACTTTAAATTACTTTATGGTAATCACCTCAGTGTTTGCAGACATATGAAAAGGATTTGGCTGTTGCTTTTTCAAGCAGCAATACATGGTACACTGTCAGAGATATGAAAATGTGGTGAGTTTTTCAGTTGGATAAAGGGAAATAGGAAAACATGACTTGATCCTAGTTCATAGGGAAGGGATCCTTATTTTTACCAAGTACCTCATAATACAAAGTATCATTGAAAAAGCAGGGTTTTTTCCTTAAATCTGTTGGATACTGGGCCCTCCCTGGGAGCACAATGGGTTGAAGCTCAGCACTACAAAGCTAGCCAAAGCCACTTCAGCAGGAGTTTGATCGCCCGCCGGCCAGGGAGGTGACCCACATGGCCAGTAGACCACACCTGTCTCACCAGCTGATCCCCACAATTGTACTTCCTCAGTCTGCTTGTTCTGTTCCCCACTCTGAGTCTGGTGAATCCTCTCACCTCCCCCGCTGCACCTCTGGCCTGTACCCCAGCTCTTGTATACACAAATAAATAAATCTTTTTAAAAATCTGTTGGATACTAATAAACTTTCTAAGTGCTTACAGAAAAAGGACCCAATTGTACAATTCCCAGTAAGATTCTGTATACACGACAATATTTCATTTGGAATATAATCACTTACTCACAAATTTCAAGGACATGAATAAAGCAAAGGTTCTTCATATCCCTAGTAAATTTGGCAGTCTGGAGGGGTTTCTATATAAACATATGAAATATTCATTTCTGTGTATCCTATTTTCTAGCCAAAATTACTACAATTCTAAAATAAAAGTCAATAAAAGATACATTAAAAAAAACTGTCTTGGGAAATCATGGGCTTAAGATTTGTGATACATTAACATTTTTTAAAGATTATGTTTAATGAAGTAATGTTTTACACACTGTGTATGTTTTAAGGGTATAGTTTTAAACCTCTACAAATGAACGTTATAATACCCTGCCCACCACCAAAACTTCAGTCTTCCTCCTCCATAATCCACTTCCCCCTTCCCTTTTTCACACTTCCTACCCCTCCTTTTTTGCAGTCAAATTTACTTTTGTCTTTTCCTTCCCTTTGTTTCTTTATACTCCATGGATGAGGCAAGTCATCGGTTATTTTTCCCCTTCTGGTTTATTTCACTGCATAATCCCTCTAGTCCCATTCATGCTATCACAAATGGCAGCGTTTCATCTTTTCTTATGGCTGAGTAGTATTTCATGGTGTATGTGTACCACCAGTTTCTTTATCTCCTTTCTCTTGTTGGTCACATAGGCTGATTCCACAAGTTGGCTAATGAAAGTAGTGCTGTGTGAACATAAGAGTATATATATTCCTTTGAATTAGTATTTTTGCATAGATACCCAGAAGTAGATTTCTGTATTTTATGGTTTATCTACTTTTAATATTTCTTTTTTTTTAAAGATTTATTTATTTATTCATACAGAACTGGGGTACAGGCCAGAGATGCGGAGGGTGAGGGGATTCACCAGGAACAGAGTGGGGAGCAGAACAGGCAGATGGAGGAAATACACTGCTGAGGGGAGCAACAGGTGGGTCAGGAGAGGTCTGCCACGCCATGTGGTCACCTCCGGGGCAGGCAGGGATCGAACTCATGCGGAACTGGCTTTAGATTCTCAGTGCTGTGCTTTAACCCGCTGTGCCAACAGGGAGGGCCCTACTTTTAATATTTCTTAAAAACCTCCCTGTTTTTTTCATTCCTCCCAACATTGTGTTAGTGTTCCTTTCTCTCCACACCTTAAGTAATACATTTTTTCCCTGGACCTTTTGATATGGGCAGTGCTTATTTTGATTTGCATTTCCCTAATGATAAGTGAGATGAGCATTTTTTCATGTGTCTGTTGCCCAGCTGTAGGTCTTCTTTGCAACGTGTCTATTTAGATCTTCTGCCCATTGTTCTGACTGGTTTTGGATACCAGTCTCTTGTCAGGTATAGAATGCAAAAAAAAAAAAAAAAGAAAAAATCCTCCCATTCAATAGAATGCCTTTTGTTTTCATGAGTTTCTTTTGCTATGCAAAAGGTTTTTTTTTTTTAATTTGATGTTGACCCACTTGTTTATTTCTGCTTTTATTTCCCTTAGTTGAGTCCCCAGAAACATCACTGAAGCGAGTATCAGGGAGAATTTTGTCTATTTTGTCTTCTACACATTTTATGGCTTCATCCAAGCCTTTGCCCTTTTTGTAATTAATTGTTCTGTATGTTGTGACATAGTGATTTGGTTTCATTCTTTTGCATGTGACTATGTAAATTTCCAACACCATTTGTTGACAAGATATT